TTTATACTGGTTTGGACTGGGAAGGGGAGTGGTTTATAGTGGTTTGTACTGGTTTGTACTGGTTTGTACTGGTTTGGACTGGGATGGTGAAAAAAGGGTTAAAAATGTTAAAAAAGGGGTTAAAAATGGGGGAAATGGGGGTTTGGGGTTACTGGTTTGTACTGGTTTATACTGGTTTGGACTGGGAAGGGGAGTGGTTTATACTGGTTTATACTGGTTTATACTGGTTTATAGTGGGATGGTGATAAAAGGGTTAAAATCAGGGAAGAAAGGGTTAAAAATGGCGGGAAATGGGGGTTTGGGGTTACTGGTTTGGACTGGTTTGTACTGGGAGGGACTGGGAGGGGACTGGTTTATACTGGTTTATACTGGGAGAGAAGAAAATTGGGGAAAAAGGGTTAAAAATGGGGAAGAAAGGGTTAAAAATGGCGGGAAATGGGAGTTTGGGGTTACTGGTTTGTACTGGTTTGTACTGGGAGGGACTGGGAGGGGACTGGTTTATACTGGTTTATACTGGGAGGGACTGGGAGGGGAGAAATTGAGGAAAAAATGGTGAAAAATGGGAAAAAAATGCCAAAAAAAAGGGGAAAAAACCCCATACTGGTTTATACTGGTTTATACTGGTTTATACTGGTTTATACTGGTTTATACTGGTTTATACTGGTTTGTACTGGGATTTTCTCTCCAAATTATGCCAGGAAACTAAATTGGGACCCCTAAAAAGGGTAAAAAATGGGGAAAAAATGCAAAAAAACCGGGAAAAAAACGGGAAAAAATCCCATACTGGTTTATACTGGTTTATACTGGTTTATACTGGTTTATACTGGGATTTTCTCTCCAAATTATGCCAGGAAACGAAAATGGGACCCCTAAAAAGGGTAAAAAATGGGGAAAAATGGGAAAAAAATGGGAAAAAATTAGGAATAAATCCCGTACTGGTTTATACTGGTTTGTACTGGTTTATACTGGTTTATACTGGTCCAAACTGGTTTATACTGGTTTGAACTGGGATTTTTTCTCCATATTATGCCAGGAAATGAAAGTGGGACCCCTAAAAAGGGGAAAAAATGGGGAAAAAATGGGAAAAAAATGCAAAAAAAATGGGAAAAAAATCCCATACTGGTTTATACTGGTTTATACTGGTCCAAACTGGTTTATACTGGTTTGAACTGGGATTTTCTCTCCAAATTATGCCAGGAAACGAAAGTGGGACCCCTAAAAAGGGTAAAAAATGGGGAAAAAATGGGAAAAAAATGGGAAAAAATTAGGAATAAATCCCGTACTGGTTTATACTGGTTTATACTGGTTTATACTGGTTTATACTGGGATTTCTTCTCCAAATTCTACTAGAAAACCAAACTGAGAGCACCAAAAATGGCAAAAAACGAGGGAAAAAGGGAAAAAAATGCAAAAAAAATTGAAAAAAATGGGAAAAAAATGGGAAAAAATCCCATACTGGTCCATACTGGTTTATACTGGTTTATACTGGTTTATACTGGTTTGAACTGGGATTTTCTCTCCAAATTATGCCAGGAAACGAAAATGGGACCCCTAAAAAGGGTAAAAAATGGGGGAAAAATGCAAAAAAAACGGGAAAAAAACGGGAAAAAAACGGGAAAAAAATCCCATACTGGTCCATACTGGTTTATACTGGTCCATACTGGTTTGTACTGGTTTGAACTGGTGCAGATGCAGTGGCTGCCCGGCTGCTCGTGCCCGCTGTGCCCCGAGTGTTTCCGGCTCCATTTCACGGTGGGGCTGCGCGAGAGGGGCGTGGGGGCCCTGGGCTGCCCCAGCTGCGGCCGGCCCGACCTGAGGGACGAGGCCCAGCGCCTCTGCTACTGGTCCACGCTGGAGCCCGCGGTACTGGTTTATACTGGTTTATACTGGTTTATACTGGTTTGGAGCGGGAGGGGAAAAAAAACGGGGGGAAAGGGTGAAAAAACGGCGAAAATCGGTGGGGAAATGGGGAAAAAGGGGTTGGAAGTGGGGGAGGAAAGGGTTAAAAATGGGGGGAAATGGGGGTTTGGGGTTACTGGTTTGTACTGGTTTGTACTGGTTTGTACTGGGAGGGACTGGGAGGGGAAAAAAACGGGGGAAAACGGTGAAAAAATGGTAAATAAAGGGTTAAAAATGGGAATTAAAGGGTTAAAAAAGGGGAAAATGGGGTTTGGGGTTACTGGTTTGTACTGGTTTGTACTGGTTTGTACTGGTTTGGACCGGGAGGGAAAAAAAACGGGGAAAAACGGTGAAAAAACGGCAAAAAAATGGCAAAAAAAGGGTTAAAAACGGCGGGAAATGGGGGGTTCTGGTTTATACTGGTTTGTACTGGGAGGGAACTGAGAGGGGACTGGGAGGAAACTGGGAGTTACTGGTTTATACTGGGAGGGGATCTGGGCTGAAAAAATGGGGGAAAAAGGGCGAAAAAAGGGTTAAAAACGGGGGAAAAACGGGGGTTACTGGTTTATACTGGTTTGGACTGGTGTGTACTGGTTTATACTGGTTTGGACTGGTTTGGACTGGTCTGTACTGGTTTATACTGGGAGGGACTGGGAGGGACTGGGAGGGGCCAGAGGGCGAAAAAACGGGGAAAAAAGGGTTAAAAACGGGTGAGAAACGGGCAAAAAACGCTTTATACTGGTTTATACTGGTTTATACTGGTTTATACTGGTTTATACTGGTTTATACTGGGAGCAGCTCCGGCGCTGCCTGGACCCCGACACCTTCGGCCTGGTGACCCGGAAGTTGGCGGAGCTGGAGCTGCTGAGGGACCCCCAGTTCCTGTGGTGCCCCCATGTACTGGTTTATACTGGTTTATACTGGTTTATACTGGTTTGGGGTCTGGGGTTACTGGTTTGGACTGGGATGGGACTGGGAAGGGGTTTGGGGTTGCTGGGAGGGACTGGGATGAACTGGGATGAACTGGGAGGGGGATTTGGGTCTTACTGGTTTATACTGGTTTATACTGGTTTGGGGTTTTTCCTTACTGGTTTGTACTGGTTTTGCTCTGGGAGTTACTGGTTTGAACTGGGATGGGGTTTAGGGGTTACTGGGATGAACTGGGATGAACTGGGAGGGAGATTTCACCCTACTGGTTTATACTGGTTTATACTGGTTTATACTGGTTTATACTGGTTTATACTGGTTTATACTGGTTTATACTGGTTTGGGTTCTGGGGTTACTGGTTTGAACTGGGATGGGAATTTGGGGTTACTGGGATGGACTTCGATGGACTGGGATGAACTGGGAGGGGTATTTCACCTTACTGGTTTATACTGGTTTATACTGGTTTATACTGGTTTGGGCTCTGGGGTTACTGGTCTGAACTGGTTTGAGCTGGGATGGCCTTCAGGCCTTACTGGCACGAACTGGGACGGGATTTTCCCCTTACTGGTTTATACTGGTTTGACCCCCGAGGGTTTATCAGTCCAAACCAGTACAAACCAGTACAAACCAGTACAAACCAGTAACTCCCAGTTTGCTCCCAGTGCTCCTTCGGGTTCATCTTCGAGGCCGAGCGGGGCCCGGCCCGGTGTCCCCAGTGCCAGCAGAGCTGCTGTCCCCGCTGCCAGCTGCCGGTACTGGTTTATACTGGTTTATACTGGTTTGGACTGGTTTTTGATTGGGAGGGGTCGGGGAGGGACTGGGAGGGGTTTGGGGGTTACTGGTTTGGACTGGGAGGGGATCTGGGATACTGGTTTATACTGGTTTATACTGGTTTATACTGGTTTGGACTGGTTTATACTGGTTTGGACGGGTTTATACTGGTTTGGACTGGTTTATACTGGTTTATACTGGTTTGGACTGGTTTATACTGGTTTTGAACTGGTTTTGGACTGGGAGGGGTCGGGGAGAGACTGGGAGGGAGTTGGGGGTTACTGGTTTAAACTGGTTTGGACAGGTTTGAACTGGTTTATACTGGTTTATACTGGTTTGGACTGGTTTGAACTGGTTTATACTGGTTTATACTGGTTTGGACTGGTTTATACTAGTTTGTACTGATTCATACTGGTTTATACTGGTTTATACTGGTTTATACTGGTTTATACTGGTTTATACTGGTTTTGGGGGGTTTTTCTTACTGGTTTTTACTGGTTTGGGCTCTGGGGTTACTGGTTTGGACTGGGAGGGGATTTGGGGAATTTTTGGGATTTTTTGGGAATTTTTGGGAATTTTTTGGGAATTTTTGGGGATTTTTTGGGAATTTTTGGGAATTTTTTGGGACAAATTTTGGGGATTTTGGGAAAATTTTGGGGGAATTTTTTGGGAAATTTTGGAGAATTTTTTGGGTTTTTTTTGGAATTTTTTGGGAATTTTTTGGGAATTTTTGGAGGATTTTTGGGAGAAATTTTGGGGATTTTGGGACATTTTTTGGGTAAAAAAATGGGATTTTTGGGGAAAAAAATGGGATTTTTGGGGAAAAATTTTCGGGATTTTTGGACAATTTTTTGGGAATATTTTGGGAAAATTTTCGGAATTTTTTTGGGTTTTTCGGGGATTTTTTGGGGGATTTTTGGGCCAAATTTTGGGGATTTTGGGACAAATTTTTGGGAATTTTTTGGGGATTTTTGGGGATATTTTGGGACAAATTTTGGGGATTTTGGGACATTTTTTGCGTAAAAAAATGGGAATTTTGGGGGAAAAAAATGGGGATTTTTGGGAAAAATGGGGATTTTTGATAAAAAAATGGGGATTTTTGGGGAAAAATGGGGATTTTTGGGGAAAAATGGGGATTTTTGGGAAAAATGGGGATTTTTGGGAAAAAAATGGGGATTTTTGATAAAAAATGGGGATTTTTGGGGAAAAATGGGGATTTTTGGGGAAAAATGGGGATTTTTGATAAAAAACGGGGATTTTTGGGGAAAAATGGGGATTTTTGGGGAAAAA